GACCCGAGTGGGTAATAACTTACAAATGGCGACCGATTGCTACATGCATGACAATCACTACCTGACAATATTATTCCAAAAAGACGTGTTCAGTATACGAATCACTTAATAGAGACACCCTTACATACTGTCATTATACTGTCCAATAAATTAATACTTCCACATGCCTATTTGAATGCTTGATGTTTTTTATATCACTACCGATAAATCGTAAATTTTACTGCTTTCAATAACGATTCGATTCCAGGAAAATTTCTAATAAAAGTATAATCCGTACAAGATTTATTGCATCCACTAAAAATCCTATTGACCTCACATATCCGATAAACAACTAAAATACTTGTGTAACGTAGATATATAATTGTTAATTTGATAAGGAATTATCATTTTTCTGGTAGATGGCTAGAGATATATATGATTATGGATTGAATGGAAACGAAACAAGTAAACACAAGTTCCTACTTACTCAATAGCGTACATTAAGTATCATTTCTCTTAAACCAAGTAATGAGTATAAGCTATTTATAAAAAGTACTATCTACTTTGGTTCAAAGAGAGTTTTTTCTTTTCATAAAGTATTTAATTGCTATAAAAACTTAAATTTCCAACTAATTTGTAATAGATAGTGTGTCGATACCAACGTGGTATCCTAATTGCAAGAAAGAAGAAAGGGGTTGCCTTTCCTATGTTGCAGATGCCCTTAGTATTCTCGGTAGTGGTTTACATCTTCCAGTCATGAATTTCGACTTCGATAATATCAGCTGTGTTTTCGCGGAGTCCTTTTGGACTCTTCTTTTAGTCCCATTGCACGCTCTCTTTGGGCATATATTTAAGAGGCCGGAAATGTAGCTCTCGTCTAGGATAAGCATGAGCAACAAGTGATGTCGTAGGTGGCGTTGCCCGATGTGCGTGTTAATATGCGTTGCGAGTACGTACGTATTCTACAGGCTGCAAGCGTAAAAGCTGAGGACTCGAATGCTAACTAACAAAAAGCTACGTGCCTAGCACCGGATGCCTGCTTGATCCTTTATGCCACCCTCCTCCTGCTCTTTTCCCCCCATTTTTCCTCTTCTTATTCACCTCCTCACGGCTGTATGCCAAGTCTCTTTATCCTCCACCTCCTCAATGAAAAGAATCGCCTACGCTGTTACTACCGTTACGAATTGTTTAACAATTTTCCTAACAATTGATAATCCAAAAGAATCGGCGACAAATTAATAATAAGTACCTATATACTTTCGTGATACATAAGTTATGTAACATATTAAGTAACCTATTGGCAATTTGGAACCTCTTTCTTATTTTTATCCATGTATATGTACGCCCTGGTAAAACCATTATCATGTCTTTTTTAACAAAGGCTAAGTTTTCACCTGATCGAACCAAATTGTATCAAGATTTTGGTTAATTTGATTTATTTTTACATTAGTTGATTATTTATCCTGAATATTTTTTATTTACAAATTTCCGTTACCAAGCATACCAATTGGTACCCAAAATTCTACTTTACGTATTCGATTTTTTTAAACTGTGAGATAGAAACTTCTCAATTTTGAAAATTGTATTTCCGACTGATAGTATCATTAGTTTCCGAACATGGGAAGTATGATCTAAATTTTGGTTGACATTCAATTAGTATATTTACCGTTATTTAGGTATCTATATATAGGTACCTGTATATTCCTAAGCGGTTGTTATTTTCATTAAGGAATTATGAAAATATTACCATTGAAAGTTAGTATTTACTTTTTTATCCCAAATATGATATTTAAGAGAACAACCAATCTGAACCACTTCAAGTGATAAAGATATTTATTTATTTGCAATGTTATTTATTCTAAGATTGATAAACTACGTTAAAATCAAACAGTCACAAGTACAACGTTTGTACTTCAACGACCAAACGACGATTTAGATGAACGTCGGGAATGAAAATTACACGTATGAAGCAGACAATTTTCCATTTGGTTGTCATTTTCATTTTCACATAGGGACCCCAGCAACAATAACAACATGAAGAGAATTCGCCGTAGTTTGAGCGCAAAGGTTAATAACTTAAAATAATGCACGCTAACGTAGAATCAATTACCGAAAGAATGCGTAGTGGTCGAAGTGGGTGTTGCACTTCGCTTCCTAATGACAAGGTAGTGACCGCCTTCTTCACAGTGAGGAGTAAATACAGGATTGGACTTCTTATGGGTATATGTTCACATTTTAAAATTGCCGTGCCATTAAACAATTTCGCTATTTTTCTTATTATTCGACGACGGTTATAGTAATGTTGCAATTCTGCTCGGCCGGCTCCTCCATTCGCCTTGGACAATTACCTTTTGATTTGGTAACTCAAATGTCGCATTTCGAAACACACATATCACTTTGCCAATGGTTCACTACGAAAACACACCTTTTTCTTAAAGTTAGTTATTCAATATCACATTTATTCGTTTATACATTTTCCTTTCTATTCTTTGTGTAGTTTACAAATTTAAACCAAAGCGTTATTTCCTGGATTATTTTAAGAGAATTTCGTCCTTTGGTGGTTTTCGAAAAATCGCTTTATTTCAATGGTGCAGGTACAGGATTACATTACCGTTCGCAAATAGTTACGCATCTGGGATGTTCTAGTTTTGGGGAAATGCGAAGATTAGCTCAGGATAGGAAAGATTGGAGGTGTGTGTCCAACCAGTCTTAGGACTGACGACCTTATGATGATGACAGGTCAACCCACATCTAGGTCTACTTCTATTCCTCTTTACTCTTGTTTCTGCCTCTAATATGTCTCTAAGTGGACCTTCATGTCTGAAAAGGTGTCGTATCAATCTACCTCGCCTATTTCTTATTGACTTCTATAGAGCCCTTTGTTCACTTATTCTTTCTAATACCTCTTCATTTCAAACCTTCTCTATCCACGGTATCCTCATCATTCGCAGGTAACAACACATTTCGAACGCTTCTAACCTTTTCCTTTCCGATGATAGCTCATCATCATCATAAGATTGTCAGTCCTAAGAGTGGTTGGACACGCACCTCCACTCTTTCCTATCCTAAACTAATCATCGCATTTCCCTAAAACTAGAACAACCCACCACCCTTACTGTTTGCGTACAGTAATCTAATCTAGGTCTACCTCTACCCCTCCTAACTTCCGTTTCTGTCGCTAATATGTCTCTGACTAGATCTTCATGCCTGAGAAGGTGTCCTATCATCGCCTATTTTTTATTACCTCCATAGTCCTCTGTTCTTCTACTCTTTCTAATACTTCTTCATTTCTAACCTTCTTCAAACGCTTCTTCCGATGACAGATACAGGACAATAAATGTTTTTCAAGAAAACTAATTTTGATATTTACTAATGATGGTGATGATGCATCAGCGCATTTTCAGTGTAACTGCTCATGAGTTTTTGACAGCAACATATGATCGAGATGGAATCCATTTATAGCTTACCCGAACTCCAGACTTAACCCCCCCCCTGGATTTTATCTATATACCATTTCCAGTCATTAATTTACAATGTTTCACTAAAAAATCGGAAACATTTGAGGAATCCAATAATTACTGGGTAAAAACATTACCCGCTCTGTATCATCGCTCTCCAATAATCATTAAAGATGAAATATCAGAATAGCCCAGGGAAATTTAAGTAACGGTCACAAAGTCTACAGAAGTTTCATTTTGACATTTTGGACATTATATTTAGGTAAATTTTGAGAAAGACTCCCAAATTTCTTTCAGCCCCTACGGCCCCTCTTCCCAACTACGTACCTGTGTTAGCTTTATAATATCTCCATCCACGTCCACGTAGATTCCAAAGGTTTTGCTTCAGGAACATCCTTACAAGGGAAGATAAAAAACGTGCAACAAGATGTGGGCACCGCGTCGGGTTTAATTTTGTTGCGTTCTGGTATTTAGGTTTGGAAAGAGAGATAATCTATGTTCTTTTATGTAGGTAATGCCCACCATTATTCGTACTGTGTAATTAAAATGTGCAAGTGAGATATGAAACGAGAGAGAATGGGTGTAATGTGATGTAGTCATGGGACTGTTTCCAGGATAACCGCAGGAGCAGCAAACTAGTTTCTGCGAGACAAGAGTTAAAAGGCCTCAGTGCAACGTAATGGNATATACAGTGTAAACTCTATATAACGACACTTAAGGGACTGAACATTTTTCGGCGTTATAAAGAGTGGTCGTTAAATGGAGAGAAATAAAAGATATTATTTTACTATTCTATAATGATATGCATTTACCAATACAGTACACATTTTGCACACGAATATTATTATTCATACATTGCGTATAGCCTGTTATTTTCGTCTGATGTTTTTTGCTGCTCCAATATTTTAATTGTATGTTGTTACGTATCTTACTCATATCTTGAAATACTGCTGGATCAATTTGACTATATAAAAAGTATTTTTTTAATAGTTTCGCTTAATCAAGCGCTTGTTTGATGCTTGGTGGAGGGACAGGATCGTCTTCTTCAACAACGTACACAGCTGCAGTTCTTATCTATTTCGGCAACTTAGAGAGTACTGCTCAATGATTTATAATGCCGCATTGTTGTCGTTAAATAGAGTGAGCGTGACGCTATATACAGTGTAATATTGTATAGAAAACAATATAAACCAACCAAAGTCAAGCAATTTCGACGTTTTAAGGAGTTATAAAGAGTTTACACTGTAGTTCCAGTTTAGAGAGGTAGAAACCTAAAAGATATCCACATCAAGATTGCGATATCTAGAAAAAGGCGGTCTAAAATTGAAAAGATGGGTTTTTCAAAAAAATTGAGAAAAATTACAAAAAATATTAATGTTTTTAATGAGAAATTGAATTCATACATACAAAAGAAAAATATAGTCATCCTCGGTTAACTCAATTGGTCTAGCCGCCTCGTGATTTCGATTTAAATTGTAAAAAATAAGTTAATCACATGTTTAAGTAAACGTTGACTACTTTAATCTCTAGCTTTTTATTTATATTTTTTTCTTTTGTTTTCAGATGTCGGGAGTGATTGAGCCACTTCGTCCACAACCTATTATGGCGTATTAGCGTATCAACAAGCTATAAAGGTATCTACTATTATTATTTATTATTGTATAATATATAGGTATAGTTTGAGAACTGCATTGCGACTTTAAACTGGTAATAAACACTATGTAAGAAACATTGAATTGTACTTACCTCTTGTAGATTTCATTTTTCGAACGATTGACCACACTTATTTTCATGCAAGAGTGTAACATGTTTAAAAATAAAAAATTTCATTCTTTATTTTTTGTCAATTGTTTGTTATGAATTTTTTTATGTAAAATTCAACATAAAATTTAAATAAAACTCAGGTGCTTGGATTTTTATTTGTATCTTTATTATCGTCAACATTACATGCTCCTTATAAACCAAACATTCATTAACTAAGTATATAATGTTTCGAAACAAAATTATTCCTTAGTTTTAGATAAGCACTGCTGTTGTTTCTAACATTTATTTATACGTAGAACGAACTTAACTATTCATTGTCGTGTTTCTCGGAAAAATACACTTTAGGGACGAACAACAACAAATACTTAACGCAAAACTTCGGATTTATCAATTTGATGACATTTAAAATCTAAAGAAGTTATAAAAAATGGCATTCAACGTTCATACAGAATCATAAATAACAAAAATTACCGGAAAATTTACTTTAGCTTAAAAATGAGTCTGTATGAAATTTGGTAATATAAAAACTTCTTAGTTGTAAAAAAATTGTTAAGAGACAATCCTTCGAAGCAGCAACCAACGAACGAAAATATTTGCGAAGTTATTACTTTAAAAAAAATATACGCTTTTATCGCAAAATAATTTGCCGCATTCTTTTAGGAAATCTTCAAACTCGTTTTATTTAAAAAATTGTTAAATATCACTAAGTAGAGCCCTTATTTATAAGAACGCTAGCCTAGAAATGTACTCTACACAAATCAAACACAAAACGTTAGTTAATGTCTGAACTTGTTTAGACAAATACTGTTTATGATGTATCTTTTTATTGTATTTTTTTTTCACTATTCTCTAAAAATAAATACAAAAATATTCAAACATGCCATGAACATGAGATTCAAATTTATAGCTATTAAAAAATAAAATTTATCTTGTGCTATTTAGAAAAGTTTAATAAAATTTTTCCTCAAATAGGAAAATCATACAATCGAAATATTCGCTCATTCATCTAAAAAAAATATTTTTTGCACACTGTTTACTAAAAAAAAATAATTAATTCCAATCAATATAAGTATTTTGAGCGGTATATTTTAAACTATATAATGTTACCACGAAAAAAGTAACTGTAAGTCTTTAGAAAACTATTAAGACAGATTTCTGTCGCTCGTTCTCCAAAAAATAAGTAATAAAAAACAAATTCTGCGAGTAATTTTTGAACACATTAAAAGAGTTAAGTAATTAAAGTTTTTCTAACATGGCAGTGATACTATCCAAAATTAATAACGTAGTTGCCAATTGAATCGGTTAATTTTAAATACTGCAAGGCACTTGTATATGTAAGGTATATTTGTTCTGTAAAATAAAATGCTTAAAAAATTGCCAGTAAATAAAGCAGTCTCCAATGGCACTACATAGTTCAGTGCAGTACCTACTTTTAACATATAATAAGTAAATGCTTATTTCGGAAACAACAGAATAATTATTATTTATGTATGTAAATATGTTTTTAAATTAATCGGCTATTTTAAAATTGTAATGAAACTGGCGATGAAACAAAGTCTTTTGTATTACTCGTAGATATACGAATTGTATAGGTGACAAACAATAAGACTAAAACTCATGGGCGTAGACAAGAGCAGTTTAGGGGTTCAAATAAACAATACAAAAAAAAGAACGACTCTTGTTTATATCTGCATTTTTATACGATTTGGTTGCTTATTTAATCCCATTCTCAAGAAATTAAATCGTAGACTACGCCCATGCTAATACTATAAATATTGAAATCATCTGTAAGTGATGATTATTGCCATTATAACGATGATATGATGATGACAAAAACATATGTTAGGAAAAACTAATAACTAGTTCTAATTTCACCCTGTAGTAGGCATTGTAGCATTTCCCTGTATGCATTCTTTATTTATTTTCTCATTTAAATGAGCAGCTATAAATGATACTCGTTCCAATACTAATGATGACAGTAAAAATGGCCATTTTTATAAAATTGTAACCACGAACCCTAACGATTTTCTATTGAATAACGTAATGGACATCTATCTTATCATTTCCCTTTTTCTATAAAAGTAGAAAACTACTTACGTCGAGAACACATTCTCTCTCACTCGAGGATTCCAAAAATTCAGAAATCCATACAAAATAGAAATTACAATTTTATTTCATAAACTCTGTAAATAATGCCACCTTAATGTGTATGTTAATTCAAACGAAGAAAAAGACTCTCACAATTTCTTAATATAAGACAAAACCGTTTCAATTACTTTTCTGTTTTTGTATTTAAAACAATTCAATTGTGTATGTATGTATATACAACGCATAATAATACTATTACCAAAACACAACTCATTCGTATAATAAAATATTATTAATATGTATGTTATTTCACCTTGGCGCCTTTTGTTTTCTGCAGCAGCATTAAAATAATTAGTTGCTGTCAGTCGACCATCAACTGTTCAATCAACAGGCGTTCATGACCATAACCGACACCTTCTATTTGAAAATATAATAAAATATATAGGCAATAAAAGCCTCGGGTGTGGTTGTTCTACCAAATCAAATCAAACGCACATTGTATAGCAAAAAGAAGTTTCATTTCTGTACGCGAAATATACGCGGAAGACTTAAATTAAGCCGGCGGAGGGCCCCTCACGTAACGTAACTGGGGTGTCAAAGACATAGAAAACGTGTTCATATTGTCGCAACATTTCGGCGCTAGTAAACACGCTACACAGAGAAGTGCTACAATAGCTAACTGAAATGGTACTGACGCACGTACGACCCTTTTAAACCATGATACCGCTGTTGGATCGTCATCCGGATCGCCCGGACTTCCCTTGACCGCAATAATTGGGTCACTGAAAATAGAAAAAACCCCTTACAAATACCTGTTTCGACAGACTCGACTATTGGAGGAGGAAACTGGGGACTGGGGTGGCCCAAAAGCAACTCAAAATTAAAAAGTAATATACACTAGCTTACAGAACCTTTACTGCTGAAGAACCCCATTAAAACTTATTATATTTCCAGGTGGTTGAAGTAATACATTTAGTTTTTTAATCGCGAAAATATTGGTACGATCAACAACGATTGAAAATTTTTTTCTTTACTGTTCAAAATAGGCCTCTGGGAATATATTACGGTACGCCTTATCAGGCTTCCAAGACAATTAAGGTTCCGTATACATTAGCAACAGGAATAGTTTCTTGTCGTTATTACCGATATCTTTAGCGTTAGTCTGGACGGTAAATTAAAAAGTGACATTACATGACAGTTATCGTTATATATAAAACAAAAACTGTAATGTACTGTCTATAGCGGCCCCCCTTCATCCCCCAGTTCCGCCGCCAATGCCTATACGATTCAGATTCGGTGTTGTAAAAATTTGTAAGACCATCAGTCGAACAAGGAAACGATTGAGTTCGTGCTACGTTTTAACAAACGAGTACACGTGTGAAAAAGACAAAAAGAAAAAAAAATCTGAGACCACAGCAACCATCCAATATAGAAATAAGGGTATTATTAATATTTACATGTAGAGAAACGAACGAAAGTGTAATATTTAACACTGCCCGTTTCCGTCTTGTAATCCAGTATAAAATCAGCTGACAAGGGCATTACTGGCGAGAAATGATTCGGTGTTAATTATTAATCCTATGCTCATGTTTATGTTCGGACACGGGCTCGTTTGAATCAATTAATTTCGGTCAATTCTCGCGACGGGGTTGCTTGCTTCTACACTATACTTTTCACTCTCGCGACTACACGAACATTTTGTCCTCTCGACTTGGAAAACATTTTTTTTAAACACCGACCAAATATATTACTCCATATTTTTCTCGACGAGTTCTTATACAAATGATAAATGCCTGAAATGTTCGTATCCCCGCAGTACTATTACGTCTTTTTCTCTGTTTTGTCTCAAAATCTTTTTCCTTTTTTGTGTAGCAAAATTTAAGCAATTAAATTAACCTCAAAAGTTCATAAATTGGAAATAAATGTTTGCTATAATCCCCCAAGACTTTTACTTTTTAAAAAACTACCATTCAAAATTAATCATTTACAATTTAATGTTACGTTATTTTTTTAATATTTTTATTTATTTATTATGAACCATGGTGTACCCTACGGTACTCGTAGCAGTAGCACATACCATTCATTTTAAACTATATAATGTTACCACGAAAAAAGTAACTGTAAGTCTTTAGAAAACTATTAAGACAGATTTCTGTCGCTCGTTCTCCAAAAAATAAGTAATAAAAAACAAATTCTGCGAGTAATTTTTGNAACAAGAGAAAATAAAAATTTTCTTTTGATAAAAACTTTAGGAAAATAAAAAAAAAAATTTTAAATTCCGTTCGTATATAAAATTTTACGAACAAAAAAAAAACATTAATATGTACTTACTTTACTGGTGTGCTTGCGGTAACGGCTGTGCGTACAATAAGAGATCGGCAACGTTTCTGTAATGCTCGGAGTTCTTCTTCAGCGGCCAACAGACGTTCGGTCATTTTGGTACGAGCAATACAATCGGGGGCCATCTCGAGCTCCAACTGTCTCACAAGGCGTCTCATACATGCCAGGCGACGTTCTCTCTCCCCCAATTCGTGTTCAGAACCTTCATCAGAGATTCCACTATCGGACAAGGAACCCTCTGTCAAAATTGCCGGAAGATCTGACTCCTGTAACAAAAATTCCTTTTTTCTTTTCCAAAAATTTTAAGTGCTTAAAATTTTTCAAAATACGTTTATGGGGATGAGGGGGAGATGAACGGCTTAAAAAAATCATAGCGGTTGGAGTGGTGGGAAGGGTGCCGATTTTTAAAGGTTCGACATCTCCGATGCTCTAAATCCAAAATGAACGACGTCAGTAATGAAACGCGTCGACCTGCATACAAAGCAGGCAACTTCTGGTTCTCGAATATCCGGAACGAGAAGGAGATACCGACTAATTCGAACACTCCGAACAATTTTCTTTCACTTTTGCCAATACCCAAACGAACTTCGCATGAACAAAACCGAATCTTTGAAATTTTGATAAAATTTAATCGTGCTATAATTCTTCAAACTTGTTATATAATAAATTCTATGTTCGAAAGATGAAAACAATAGTTTTCTAATCAAAAATAATCTTTAAAATTTTTGTAGATAAATTAATTAACATGATGATGTCAAACGAGTCTTTTCCAAGACATTTTCAAAACTTAATGAAATTCGTTCGCACCAACATTTTCCAAACTAATTAAATTAATTTGTATTTATTATGTGATAATGTGTTAGGAAGAAACTTTTGTTTTTTAAAAGCAAGCTGTAGCCTACCTGTCTCGTTTCGGACAGCACTTTGGCAACTTCTCTAACGTAAACGGCCATTTGGTCAGATAAAGAGCCCTCTTGGAGTGCAGAATCCAGAAGGCCCAAAGTTTTTTCATCCGCTAGTAGATCGCCGTGTAATTTTTCTAAACTCCTTTCCAGCATCTGCCACGTGTCCAGCAGCCGATTTAATTGCATTAAACGTTCACTTGCGCTGAAACAAAAAGAAAAGTTTGTTTGGACACAATTGTGATTTATACACTAGAATAAGTGACGAAAATTGTTTTCAATTCTTTCTAAAGATTTTTTTCTATTGCGTAACTGGTTTCCACATTTAAACTTTACTACCATGACCCGTTTACATATGAAACGAAGTAATTACGAAGTAATTGGAACCAAAAATAGATCAACTACATCTGCCGGTAACTGATTTGTTTATATGAACTATTAGGTACACGGATACTGATGCCTACGGAAAATTTTGTATTTCATTTAATTATCTGACCTGAATGCAAAATTCCTCTCTTTTGTTTCTTAGATAAAAACAAAAACTTACCTTGAATGATAGTCGTTCCATAGACGATAAAGTTCGGATATGTCAGCTTTTAGGGTACTGGAGTTGTAATCTTTGTTTTCGGTTGTAAAACGATGTACAGAAACGTTGAATGTTAGTAGTTTCTTTTTGTACTCATCCAAATTCGCCAACTCGGTCTGAAACAACATCACTTATTGAAGAAGGCTTGAGATTACTAAATTATTCACGATGACATCTTCGAGAAAGCCGCACATAGTCAAATAAATGCGTCAAGGCCCTAACACAATGACAGTGCCTTTCTTCCCTTATGCTCTTTCGCTTTTATTGTGGCATTACTTCTTAAAAATTCAAGCAATTTCGTAAAGTATTTCGACTTGAAACCAAACTTTTCTTACACTTAGTTATAAACATTTTTTCTATTTAACTAAAAACTCAGTAAGTCGTTTGGTGTTTAAAGTCACTTGCTAGTAATTCAATTTTTTATTATTTAATTTAATAACTAAATTACTACAGACTGTACACGTAAAAAATAAAGACGGGGTAGCATTAGTATTCAGCAGGCTAATTTTACTGCAGATTCACATTCCTCTCTAATTCAATTTTCAATCAGCAACCAATCAATTGACTCGAATTCGGTCCAATTTGGCAGACAATTACAGTTCAATCGTACAAACATGCAGTAAAATTGGCTAATAGTTACTAAAATCTACCAGACATAATGAAAATAACGATTCACAATTTCATTATGTCTTGTGGTAATTTTAATAATAATACATATTGGTAAAACTAAAATTAATTTCCACACTTTCCGGATAAAACAAAACATTTATATCTTTCAATTTGTCGCAGTTTTTTTCTCAATGAAAAAACAAAGAGAAAATGCACCTAGGTACTATAAAGTCTTATTAATTTCGAAACTTTGTTCGATATTTTATTATTAAATATAATA